CCCCCTCGTCACTGCCCCGGGGAGGGCAAGGGAGCTGCAGGGCAGGACCTGGGGTCCCTGCGGCATCTCCAGGACCCTCCTCTCCTCTCCCCAGGCCAAGGAGCGCTGCAGAACTGCACCTTTCACGCTGCCGCCAGCCAAGGTAAGGAAGGGCCAGGCCTCCTGCACACTTCCGCAGGGCCCGGGGCATCCTGCAGCAGAGCATGGCTCTGCAGACCCCTCTGCAGCCCTGCCGTCTCCTTCCCTTGCAGATACAACAGCCGCCGCGCTGGCAACGGGGGCCTGTATCGTGGGCATCCTCTGCCTGCCCCTCATCCTCCTCCTCATCTACAAGCAGAGACAGGCGATCACCAACAGGCGTACGTATCCCCACCGCAAACCTTGCCAGGGGGTCTTTTTCCCCCCAAAAAAGCACTGTTTGCATTTGTTTTCCCTCGCTTCAAAAAGACCCCTGCCCTCATGGAGCCTCTCCACTCTCTTTGCAGGCGCCCACGAGCTCGTGCGGATGGAGAGGTGAGGAGATGCCGTGCTCTGTGCTTTGGCCCCCCTTTAAAAAAGTATCCCCTAAAACGGGGAAGGGGTGAGCTGGGAGCTCACCCCGGCCCCTCTGCTCTCCCGCAGCAGTGCTCAGGGCATCGAGAACCCCGTCTTCGAGGCCGTGCCTGCTGCCGAGACGTGGCCCCGGGGGTCGCTGCCCTACGCGCCCACCCGGCAGCCCTCCGAGTCGGGCCGGCGCCTGCTCTCCGAGCCCAGCACGCCGCTGTCGCCCCCGGGCCCCGGCGACTGCTTCTTCCCCACGCTGGGTGAGTGCCGAGGGCCGGAGGAAGAGAAGGGAGCCAAAAAGTGGCAACTGCTTTTTGCAGCCTCTTTGCTGTGCCGCAAGCCCTCAGCTGCTCCTTCTGCTCTTTTCCAGACCCCGTTCCCGACTCCCCAAGCAGCCCAAAGGCTTAGGAACTCTGGACACCGCCAGCCTGCCCTGTCCATGGAACCTCTCACTCTTGGATTTCAACTTTTCCTACCTGTTTTTACAGAGGCACCAGCACCTATGGACATGTGCATGCAAGCGTGCCACCTCATCCTGACTTTTTTTCCATTACGGACCTATATCACAACATTCCTGACCTGTGCCTCCATCCCACAGGGTGCCCGAGGAGGAACTGCAGTCAATGGAAAGATGGGCCAAATTCGGGAGGATTTGGGGCTGGCCCGGAGCTGTCGCACACCAGCGCTCGCGTGCTACGCGCTGATGCGAGCGCTTCCAGGGAACTTTAACTTATTATGCTGGGCTGGGCCCGTGCAACACCAGCCCGTCCCTACGGACAGCCGCCCGTGGGGTGCCTTGGACACGCGCAAGCTGGGAATGCTGCCCAGATCCATGCACGCGCCGAGCTGCTCTGCGCGCCGCCACCTCTCCAGAAATGCGGCGCTCCGCGGCGGAATAAAGGTGCAACGGGGGCCAAGTCCCTCCTCGCCCTGACGGCACCTGGGCTGGGGGGAGCCGCAGCCGGGCCACCGGGTCCCTCGGGGAGGAGGCCGCTTCCGCTCTGCCGTTTCCTCTTTCATTTTGCTGGTTTCTCCCCTGCGCTCGCTCACGCTTTTCTTTTTTTATTGCGTTTTTTTTGTTGTTGTTGTTGCTTTGTTTTGTTTTTGCATGCTGCCCCACCTGAGCCACAGGTGTCCACAAGGAAGGGGCCTGGCAGGACACCCCCTCCCCATGCGTTTCCCTTAGCAAGGTGGCCCTTGTCCCCATCCCTCTGCCCCCTTTTCCCTCGGTAACAGCCAAAGTGTCATTTCCCATCTCCCTGACACCCGGAGAGCGTGAGATCTTCCCCCACTTTGGCCACTCACGGACAGCGAGGGGTTGCCCTCGTCCTCCACGGTGACCAGCAGGCGGTAGGAGCTCTGGCGCTCGCGGTCGGGCGGCGACGGGCGCGTGGCGATCTCGCCCGTGACGCGGTCCATGCGGAACGTCAGGTCCTCGTTGCCTTGCGTGATGTAGTAGGAGAGGACGCTGTTGAGGCCGATGTCCCGGTCGGTGGCGCGCACCTGGGCCACCGCGGTGCCCCCGCCAACGTTCTGCAGAGGAAGCAGCGCCCAAGAGGGATGCTCGGGGGGAGATGCTCGCGCCCATGCGTGCGCGTAGCTCACCATCGTCGTAGCCCCCAGTTAGCCAGGCGTGGGTTATAGCACCTTGCAGACATCCTGGGGTGACCCCCGGCTCAGCGGCTCACCTCACTGACGCTGACGTTGTAGCCCCAAGGGCTCTCCACCACGGGCGGGTTGTCGTTGACGTCCAGCACGCTCACGCGCAGGGGCGGGGCACCCTTCCCCCATCCGCGGCTTGGATCTACGGAAGCGGGGACCGGGGGTGGCACGGGGAGGGAGGTCCCCCACGCCGCACGGGGACGGCTGGCTTACCCGCAGGGTGTAGTGGTCGAGCAGCTCGCGGTCCAGTGGCCGGGCCACCAGCACCTCGCCGTAGGTGCCGTTGGTGGTGCGGATCTCGAAGGCGCCGCCGATGTTCCCTGACGTCAGCGAGAAGGTCACCTGGGCAGGGGGGAAGCCAAAAGGAGGGGTGCGCTGAGCCCGCAGCCCGTCTCATGGGCATGGCCCGTGACGAGGTCTCATCCACGACCATGGCCACGCTGAGGTCCATCACTGTGAGCTTCCCATGGTGGCTGCCAAGGACGTCCCCACCATCCCGTCTCCCGCAGCAGGAGAGGCCACAGCTGTTTTTCCCATTGCCAGGCTCCCTTTGGCACGGGTCCCAGCCAGGCCTCGCCCTTTTTCCTTGCTTTTTTTCCCATTCCAAGGCCACAGGGAAGAGGCGGCATGCCAAAGGGGAGCAAGGAGCAAAGGTGCTGCAGCCATCCCGGGCGTCCCACCTGCCCGTTGCTGCCCGCGTCGGGGTCCCGGGCCAGGACCACGGCGATGCGCTTGCCCACGGCGCAGTCCTCGGCCACGCTCACCGACGAGTCGGAGGTGATGTCGAACTGGGGGCTGTTGTCGTTCTCGTCCAGCACCGTGATGGTCACCTGTGGGCAGGGGCCAGGGGGTGGTGCCACGGCGAGAGTCTCCCTCTGGGTTGCACTTAGCCAAACTGCGGCAAATTCAACCCAAAACAAGGCAAAGGGACATCTCTACAGGGGTCCCTCGAGGGCCAAGCTGAAATCCTGCAATGCAGGAGTGCGCAGGTGAAGAGCCACCCTGCATGCATCAGCCGTGACTCCACCGGCCAGGAGCTCCTCCAGGCCACGGTCTGGGCTCGAGGCTCCTTGGCTGCAATCAGCCTGAGGAAATGCGTTCATCGCGCACCCTAATTAAGGGGCTGCAACACTGCGCACAAGCGAGCAGGGAGGAAGAGCCTCTCTGTGCTGGCTCTAGGTGCGGCCGGGCGCGATATCCCACAGGAAGCCGGCGGTGCGAGCCCGGGCCGCGCACTTATTGTCGCCGCCGAAAGGAAGAAACGGAGCTGGGAGAGCCCATGCAGAGGCCGGAAAGGATGCTGCCCCCACGGGGCAGTGCTCGGCCCCATGGCGCGAGCCGGGCACGCTTACCTTCTGCCGGAGCGGAGAAAACGGGGAGCCAGAGAGAAAGACAAGCAAGCGAGAGTTAGCGGGCGGGCAACAGCAGGGTGCCCAGGATAAAGGCTCTCAGCATAAACTGAGAGCTTTTAAACTCACCACCGTGGAGTCAACTTTTGGCCCCCCATCGTCGGCCACCACCGTCAAGGTGTAGAAGTCCCCCTTCTCGCGGTCCACCTGGCCTTTGACCGTGATGACACCCTGCCGAGTGGCAAGAGCTGTGCTGAGCACTGGCACCGCATCCCTCATGGGCAAGCGTGCTGGGTGTGGGTGACCCCCCCCACGGTGCCTACTCACGGTGACCCCGTTGATTTTGAACAAGGAGAGCGCCTGGGCGTTGGTGTTGGGGTCAAACTTGTAGGTGATCTGGTTGAGGTTGTCGATGGAGCGGGCCTGCACCCTGAGCACCTCAGAGCCCAGTGGGATGTTCTCCACGATGACAGCCTCATAGCTGGCGTTGGAGAACTGCACGGCCTCATCCAGCTCGTTCAGCAG